TGCCCATAAAAGATATTTCAGCAGAGACCATAGCTAAAACCTTAGTCGAACATTGGATCTCACATTATGGACTCCCTGCTCATATCACAACCGATAGAGGAGCCCAATTTGAAAGTCGCCTCTTTCAACAACTCACAGAGCTCTTGGGCATTAAACGTATACGCACAACCTCCTACCACCCGATGGCAAATGGTATGGTAGAGAGATTACATCGACAGCTGAAAGCATCTCTTACAGCTGTTATTAACAACAATGACTGGGCCAACAAGCTTCCATTAGTCATGTTGAGTTTAAGATCGACGGTTAAAAGAGACATAGGATGTTGCCCTGCAGAGTTAGTTTACGGAACTACCCTACGTCTACCAGGAGAGTTGTTCATCTCAGGTAAGATTATTCCAACTGATATAACTAACTACGTACGTCGTCTAAAAGAACACATGAGCGATCTAAGAATAACGCTTCCACAGGAGAATCAACACCGAGTATATATTCCGAAGCAACTAAGCGATACCACCTATGTATTTATCAGGAGAGATTTTGTGCGACGTCCCTTACAACCAACCCACGATGGTCCTTTTAAAGTTATCGACAGAAACGATAAAACTATCACCGTAGATAAAGCTGGAAAAACGGATGTAGTTAGCATCGACAGAGTCAAACCAGCTTTCATTGAAGGCGAAGAACAGCCAATAAACGCAAACCCATCGAAAGCCATTGAATCACCGAAATGCGAGCTTAAACCCTCTGAAGCGGCAACACAGAAAACAGAAGGAAGCCCACCAACGACCAGATATGGACGAAGAGTCAGGTGGCCGCAAAGATATATAGCTACGATTTTGAACTGATAATTCTTCTCACCATTTCGAACACATTTTTTTTTGCTTCGCATCTGTACGTCGGAAATTCTAATTTATCTATTATTGCCTTCGATACATTTAGTGTATTTCGAAATTGAGATGTTACCCTTAAAAGATTGCTATACTTTTATATGATCTTCTATTCCTTTGCGACCTCACGAACGTATGCGAATAGAGTGAATTTAACTTCCGAAACTTTTGATGTTTTCCGACAATTTTGATTTTTTTTCTTCTCGCAAACAAAGACATTTTCGTAACCTTGTTTGCTGGAAGGGAGCTATTGTAGTGCCTCCACATATATTTCAGTTCTCTCACATCTAACTTGGTTAAGCCCTTTCGATTAATTTATTTAACCAAGCCATTTGTAAAACAATAACTTATATGTACCATTGGCTTTTATTATTGTGTGGTTTGTATGCGCTGGTATGATTGAACATTGTTTACACTTGCGCGCATATTCATACTATTCGCTTTAATATTAATCTCTTAAATACCACGATGACTCAGACATTTTCCTTTGTATATATACGAACATTTTAATCTTATTAATTCATTCGCTCATTCGCATATTCGCTCGCTAGTGTGTCTGCCCGGTCTGTCTGTGGTCTGCTATCCTTATTGTGGTGTACTACAATAAACGTATACGATACTTGGAATTCATCTTCTGATTTATTAACCGTCAGACGTCATTTGGATAAGACAATCTGAACGAGCTTATTACGAAACGTAAGAACACGCATTAAACCGGCACACTACAGCTATTGCCTTTTCCATCCCCTTTGCGTTCGCTATCCACAACTGTTCGTGATCATTGCGTAGGCTTTTCATCAGCCTCCGCCTAAGCTGTCACCGATCCTGATCGCACTCAGAGCCTAACGGGATGAGTTTCCGAGCATCCATCAGTTCGATGGATGTTACTGAAATCCACGACTTCTTAGCCTTATCGTTTACCTAACTAGCAGATCAGAAGTCCCTTTTTAAATGCATAAATTTGGCCAGGTAAGCATTAACCTGAAGCTGTTTTAATGAAAAATAGGGTACGAACCGTCTACTTTGTAAACAGGGAATATTCATGAAAAAGACCAGAACCACATAACGTTCAATTCAGTTTACAGAAAATTCCGACTGAGAGAGTTATTAAGTGTAAGAAGGATTTGATTCTGACCGATTCGGTATTATGTGTTTATATGGGTTTGAGGGTGAATGTTACTTTGCAGCTGCCCAAACTGTGGAAGGGTTCAATGGGCAGATACCAGAAATGAAGAATCGATACTGGAAGTTGTTAGAGCACGGCTCCAAATACGCTACAGAGTCACAAGTAATCACTGTTGTTTCCACAGCTTTTCGGATATCACTCCTAGCTGCCTCAGGGTGGGCATAACTTATTGCATGGCCGCCTAACTGTTTTTTCAGTTGTTCTTTCAATATATTTTTATCTTTATTAATATTTAGTAGAGCCCTAAGAGGTTTCATCGGGATATCTTTCCTGCGTCCAGTGAGAAGCAAACAAATGCGCGCTCGCACTAAGGCATGGTGTGTCTAAACAAGTGCTCCAGAATGAGCGGCAGTCTTCAATAGATCCTCCCTTTCTTTACGATTCCGTACCGTCCCGCTTAGTCGCATAAGCGACTGTCTGTCGGGATCCGGTCTAAGAGAGCTAGTTCTGCCCTAGGACTTAGTACTATGCCTACACCAGCGAGGCCACGGGAGGGCTACCTGATTGATACACGAAGTGGAAGCCGTGTTGTCTCTATCTGTACTAGGTGAAATGAAATTGGTGGTTTTACTCGGATCTTGTATGCGCGATTCAGAGACAGCATACATTGATCAACCGGGATTCCAGGGTTCTAGCTAATAAAGCCTGTTGCCCTTTTTTGGCATATCGTTCGAACGGCAAAAGCTCCAATATGTAATTTAGTACGGGGATTCAAGAGACCAGGAATAACGTTTCGTGATTCGAAACTGTTTGCTTCAGCGGCGCGAGGTGATAAACGATCGAAAGAGTTGATCAAGGAGATAAGAGTCATTAGGGGACGTAGAAAAGATTTGATTATGACCAATTCGGTCTCGTGTGCCTTTATGGGTATGAGAGCGGATGTAACTTTCCAGCTGCCCACACCGTAGAAGGGCTCTGGATGTCAGAAGGGACATCGGTCTCATGACTCCCGAGGGAACTCGCCTCTTATCATGATGAGACGTCATAATTCGTCTAAATGAAAACCTCCTAAATCCCAGAGCAGAGTTTATATGGTTTAAATTATTTTTGCTTGTTAGCGTTCTTTTAGTAAGTTAGTTTTTTCCGGGATTGGGTTGCAAACCTACATCTCAACCCTCCTCCTTTATCCGGGCTTGGGACCGACATCAGCCCCGAAGGGTCCACAGGCGGAGTTACTACCTCTACTACTGTGGGACAATTGCATCTCTCCGTCAATCCGGTGTGGCAACTTGGGCTACTGTACGTACGTCGGAGTTCAATGTGGCTGTTGACTCACTTGACTAGACAGAGATCTCGAAGATAAATTCAGTAACTGTTCGTTCCCTCTAAAAACCTGAAACGCTACCGAATATGAAACGTAATAGTGGCTTAAAGCTGTTAAACTATACAGATTTTGCAAGTTTGGTGCAAGGAAATAAGTTTCTTCTTATCAGCAACTCGCTTCGGACCCGTTCAGACTATTCTATTATGTGAATAGAATTACTTACGCTGTCTGAAAGTCAAGTATAACATGTAAAAATGTTTCTTGTTCACACGAAGTTACTTACTAGAATGGTAAGACTGGACGTTTCAATTTTGGCTGTCTTTCAGGTTCTCTTCTTTCGTATATTTTGTCTGTCAAAACTTATCTCTCGCATATTCTCGTTTACAAAATGCCAGAACCACCTTGGTTTATTGTTTGTTCACTGATAAAAATATGTCATCACACTTTTTGAACAATTAAAAAATTTCAATGACTTTCCAGTTTGAAAACCGATAATAACGACAGTTGTATTTTTCGGTCTTCTTCGCCAACACCTCTACCTTTGTCTTTCTAAACTTATCTCACTGAATTATACTTCTTGAATTTTATCTTCAGACCCTAATCTTCTCTATTAGCAGCAATTCTTCTACTATCTCTACCATTATGGTATTTGAATCGACAATTGCGTCTCTGTGCTAATGTGGTATGTCAACATGAACTGACGTACTTACGTACGACTGACTGACTCCTAGAAAAGAACTTTTGATATCTCTCAGACCAACCCCTGTAAACGACCATTCATACCGTTCCTTAAAATTAATATATTTCTTACGTATCTTATTTGCATCATGTAGTAAGACTTGATTTGATTTGAAGTATGCGACGTTGACAGTGAGGACGAACAATAGGAATTGACCAATCGAATTAGACTTACAAACAATTATCTTGGGATATTGGATGGATACCCTAACACTATTCGGCCCAAATCCTCCTGACATGTTGAAGTTACTGCCTAGTTGATCCCTTTCCAATCGGCCTCGTGACTTGAGAAGAAACTTGCCTTTCATCATCAGACGTCATAACTCTTCTGATTGAAGACCCTCTAACTCCCAGGGTACAGTTAAAATGGTTTAAATTACTTTTTTTCTGGCGTTGGTCTTCTACGGGATAAGGTCGCCATCCCCAAGCCCAACCCTCCCCCTTTATCCAGGTTTAGAACTGACAGTAGCCATAGAGGGGCTCCAGGGGACAGTGCATGCATATGCTGAATGACCAGAAAACTAGTTAATACACGATATTTACTTCATCCATCTGTTTCGCTATGAAAAGATGTTAAAGAAAACGCAAAAACAATTTGTGCAATAGCACAAACTAGAGCATTTTAACTCAACACGAAAGTATGAAACGTCGTAACTTTAAAGCTGAAGGACAAACCATACATATTATCGTCTCTTTACAATGTGAATAAATCACTTTTGAGTTATAAATTCGTTTCCAATCTGTATCTGGATTCGTATATGAAGCCTTAACTCACATCAAGATACTCATCTTCATGGATTAAATCTACCATCCAAAAACTTAATTAACTGCTATCTGTTTTGGTAAATAAGACAATACCTACTCTCTCCACCAATTGTAACAAACATTGTTCTAGAGATTAGAAAACTTGTCCAAACCAGTAGTCTTCTTAAAAAGCAATCAGGAATAATTCACACTTACAAAATATGATCACACCTACTATCATCAGCGGTTAAATAACTGGGTACACTCATAATCCATACATGAAAAAATCCAGGCTCAGAACGGATGACTCTATTTATGCAGATGTTTGCAAATCCGAGGAAAAAAACCGCGACCCTATAACACTAATATGAAAAATCGGTAGAATGAAATATTACATTAAAGCAGTACACAATAGCAAAAGTACAAGTGTTATTAGAACAAAAATTATAATTCTACGAAATTCAAATCGGTAGAATTTGTAGGAGAATCAGCTAATGTATTATTGTCGGAAAGTAAACGATTGTAATCAGCTTCAAATTCACTAGAAATCTCACCAAAATTAGTAACTATACTTGTAACTGTGACAATATTATTAGATACTGCATCTGACTCGAGATTGTCTGAATCATCAATGGAAGTTGTTAATTCACCTAAAGACTCAGTTTCTTCGTGAGAGTTGAGAGAATGGTTTAGATTCGAAGCATTCTGACTATTCTGAACAGGTGTAGATGATGTGGAAACTTGTAGCTGAATCTGACCTACCAAGTGGTTATTAGAAATAAATTCACGGAACTCCCAGTCACTAAGCAGGTTAGGTAATTCATAATGATGGAAGAAATAAATCATTGAATGCAATATGAACAGCCAGGAAACCCAAAGAGCAACACCACTGAACTGCCCATTGAAACGATAATGGTAGGCATAAAATCCAAAATGATACAAGTAGAAATATCTGATAAAATTAAGAAAAAAATTAAAACCAAACAACAATCAGAAATAAATTTCATGGATTGAAAAAAATTATACATTACACTATTGAATGCCAACTCAGTAATCAAGAAGTAAGTCGTTCGCGCACAAGATCGAAGGTAGTGTTCGATTCACATTTTTAGAGACGCAAATGCTCAATGGTGGTCAGCCCTATAATAGGACGCAACGACCGTTAAGTGCTCACAGGTTTTGAATAATGATCTGACATTGATAGTGTTACGCTCGTCTCTAGGTATGCTTAAACTATTACAGGTTCACCTTAGTCGAATAACGAGAACAAAACAATAAACCAGCGTCCAAGTAGGCTACTGTGATCCCTTGACCAAATAGTACCAGCAAGAAGTCTTGATATAGCGTGGAAAGTGTATTCTACAAACACCCAGCCAGCAGAAAATGATTCCAAGCACTCAAATTGCGTTTACTTATAATCTGTAGAGACGTCCTTGGGACAGTCGCAAAAATAGCACACTAAGATGACACAGTAACCAATCACAGGCAAGGATTTTCCCGGTGGGAAATGTGATTTCAAGATCAACTGATTGGTCCATGAAATAAATCCAAAATGAAGATATTTATCAAGCGAGTTCTGGGGATCTAACATCCCAACAGATAGATACACGAAGTCAATGAAACTCAATAATCTCCGCAAACCTATAATGACTAAATGTAAAAAACATTTAGATGTGTAATCTTCAATTTTTCGAATATTATTAAAGCTTTTTTGAGCACTAACACAAAGTACATATGATGGTCCATTGTGATGCGACTTCGGCCCAATCAACGAAACAAATACTCAAGAATCCACCTGTTAAGATCGATCGTTTCAACGAATTCTACAGTTCTGACCTGCATTCCTAACACATTAACACAATATAGTTTGTAAGAAGGATGCGAACGAAGTAGCAAACAATAGGTAGAAATATGAGGAATATATATTAGATTGTGCGAGCTCATTAACAACAGTTCATGCTTCGGATTCCAGGCTGCATAACAATGAAATTCATGAAACAATAATAATTGTAGTAAAATATCTCGAAAAAATTCAGCATCAGGTTTCAAAACAGATTTACATAATATGTGTGTGTGATGATTGCACCCAGAAATGATTCGGCAGAAAAAGCAATTTCCTGTAGCATTCTAATCCCAACCGTAGCTGCTACCTTGACGTAGTGGTCGGGCTTGCACATCATGATGACCCAACCAACCCAGCCTGTAGACCCTTCGGGGCTAATGTCGGTCCCAAGCCCGGATAAAGGAGGAGGGTTGAGATGTAGGTTTGCAACCCAATCCCGGAAAAAAACTAACTTACTAAAAGAACGCTAACAAGCAAAAATAATTTAAACCATATAAACTCTGCTCTGGGATTTAGGAGGTTTTCATTTAGAAGAAGCAGCTTGGAGTGATAACCGAAAAGCTGTGGTATCTGTGATATCTGCTAGTTAGGTAAACGATAAGGCTAAGAAGTCGTGGATTTCAGTAACATCCATCGAACTGATGGATGCTCGGAAACTCATCCCGTTAGGCTCTGAGTGCGATCAGGATCGGTGACAGCTTAGGCGCAGGCTGATGAAAAGCCTACTCAATGATCACGAACAGTGGTAGATAGCGAACGCAAGGGAGATGGAAAAGGCAGTGGCGATAGGCAACGGTAGACAACTATTCAGACTTATCAAGGAAACCGGTTTTAGAGATCCATCTGTGAGACTCTCTCGGAGAAGATTGGCACTATTGAAGTATTTTACTAGTAATTAAGAGAATCGTTGGTATTACACAAAATATGTATACAGCAAACCAAACAAATTCGAGTGAGCTGTTTGAAAAATCATCAAAAATAAGCGGAAAAACTAATCGTCTCTCAGTCAGCCAGTCAGCTACAAAGTAGAACTTTGTACGTACATACATCGGTCCACGTTGACATAACATATTAGTACAGAGAGATGAGGATAACATTATGATTAACGTTCTAACCGATGCTCAATTTACTTGAGGTTAACAAATCCAACTTTGGCATCGGTACTTACAATAAATGGAAATTAAAAGATAACTTAAAATATGTCAGTCAGCTGGAATGAAGAACTTCCTACGTGCCTACACCACATAAGCACAGAGAACGAGTTGTCAATTCAAATCCTGTAGTAGTAGAGGCATTGAAATTATTAGTGGTAATGGGGAAGATTAGGGTGGGAAGACAGTATTTAAGAAGTATAATCCATCGAAATCAATTTACAAATAGAAAGATAGAGGTAATGAGGGATCGAGATTAGAATTTGAGAGAACATGAAGAATGAATGCACCTGTGCTATTTGCGAACGATTTTGAGCCATGTCGTTCAAGGTCTCTAACCATCGATTACTATAATCTCGCGGGCCCCAACCAGGTAGTCCACATCTACCAACATGACTCAGTCCACTTGTCAGTGATTTTATGGTTTTCTGCCATGGTTTGTTCTGGTCACCAAACCTTCTTGCAACCTACTTCTAAACCATAAAACATAGCTCGACGAGGCAGTCGCTGGTTTGGCAGTCATAACGCATGTCCCAACCACCTCAACTGGAGATGTATTAATACTTCATCTATTGATTTACCACCCTTACCTAAACCCGTTTCCTAACGACAGTATTGCTTACTCGGTAGTCCTAGGATATAACAGCAATGCTTCGAAGATACCTATAATCCATAACTAGAAACCTACAAATATCCTCTACTCTCTCTCTCTCTCTATAAAGCAGGATGGCGCAAACTGATGCGCAGTGAACGCGTCCGAAAAGTATTATACAACAAATTGAATATTAATAGAATGACATTCAAAAGCCCAACGAAGCTATTAAAAAAACAAAAGTTCAGCTGTAGTTTAGCCAAATACAAAGCACAACAGAAAATCTCACTAACCTTGGCCAATACTTTTTGCTCAATTCAGTCCGACAAAATACAGCTTCATAGTGATCACAAACGCTTATGATAAGAATAACATAAAACGCAGTGATTGAATCGCCAAAAAATTCAGACATGATAGTTTCCATGGCTGCAAATCATAAACAATCAGTATTTGTTGCGTTAGGATGAAAAAGGGATATGCTATATCACATTAAAGACAATAATAAATATTTAGAAATATCACTGCAAAATTAATGGAAAAATACTTAAGGCAAATAATAGATATACGTCACATTAGAAGACTAAGTTTGACTACGATCAAAGTCATCAACTCATATAAAACTGATAAGCAACCAAGAATCACATAAACTGAGATGCGTAAATATTTTAAGTCAGTGACCGATAAACAAGACGTAGCACTACCAACAAAAATAAATGGGAACAGCATAAAGAAGCAAACAATATTGTTTTTAACCAAATAATCGTCAGGCTCTACTCTAATATACATGAATATTTATATGAAACTGTTAAATCAATCGCGGCAATTTATAAGTCAATAACCACAATGAAATAGATTATGTAATTAGGCAATGATTGGTAAAAGTAAAAGTGGATAGTAGGAAGAAAGGTGTACTGTTAGTGGTTCAATAGTGGTTCAACATCGAATGTGGTAGGACAAACTTGGATAAATAAATTTGAATTAAAAATCAGAAAACACTATTAGAATTACATATTAAGTGTGTAAATAATTAAATAATGAAGAATATAAACCTAAAGAGGCGAATAAACGACAAACAAATACCGCATATGAAAATAATACTACTAATAATAAAATGAAGTCGTAGATTAAGGTACATCTGACAAAAAACAGACAGTGGTGTAAGGAATTTTTCCTGATTATGGTAGTGTATGTATGTAAGAGACGAGATCAAACTCCGTTGGGAAATAATGGAGGTATACGATAAGTCAATGGAAATTAGTGACTCATAAGTTGCCGCGATTGATTTGACAGTTTCATATAAATATTCATGTATATTAGAGTAGAGCCTGACGATTATTTGGTTGAAAACAATATCGTTTGTATCTATGTGGTGTCTCACTATTCGCGATGGGACTCTTTAATATTTTAAATGTGTGACTAAAATTCAATACTTGGTAAGAGGCTTAACTAAAAGAAGCTGAGATTTCGACCACATCCAAATTTATAAAAAATTGGATGAAACTGATATGAGATCGTAAATATATGTTGAGTTATTTTACTTACCACCTAATGTGTGGTTTCACTTATTTCAGAGTTTATTCCAGAATCGCGGAGTCACTTAATGACTAAAACACTACACAGAAAATTAGGAACTCAGTATTAAAAAATCGCTGAACGACCGCAAACAGTTATATGTGCAAGGATTTCGATTATCAAGTCAGGTCTCCTGTTAGGTATGTCCATAACTAACCAATCAAATCGTGGTGTAAGCGCTCACCACGTTGATCTGGTCTGGTGTGTTTGTAAACTATCTCTGTTGCATGTGACCTACTAACTGAAAGACATTATCATCTTATTATATTAGTGTGACTCATAACTTTATTCGTCCCCATGAGACACGCTATATTGGTCGGTATATTTGCTCGTTTCACTCGATAACTGCAATTTCCTTAATCATTGTACTAATTTAATTGTTTTTACATTTAGAAATAGATTAAGTTTAAAACAAAGTTGTCCTTGTTCTGACTATAGTTTTCACATAGACTCTGTGCTCGCCAGTATCGCGTTTACGGTTCTAGTAGTATATCTGTAGGACAAATGAAATCCTACATTCTCTTTTGGACTTCGAAATTCTTTGACTAGGTAAATTTACCACAAATATTATTAAACTGATACAATTCGGTTAAAGACAAGAAAAATACGCTAATACTAATAAGAGAAAATAAGAACTACAAGTGTGAATAAAATGAATTCAAAAAATTTGGAGTCAAGAAAAGCACAGACAGATAGTAGGCCGAGGTATGCTCAGAAATTCAATACTGTTGAATCACCTGGTAAGGAAAAATCAAACGCAAATAAAAGGGTATGATATTTTAAGTTGTAATCACTAACGAGGATGGAAACTATTCAAAAACACAATCAAAACTAACAATAACTGGAAAGCAGTGATTTCACTGGCAAAAAGATGTATCAGTTCGTGAACGTGGAAATACTATTACACAGGCTATGCACATTGTTTCCTTCCGACTACATATGATGTAATTATTTAAAAGTACTATTACTCAGGAAATTCACGATAGTTCCATGCAAATAAACAGGTTTGATTAAGCGAAAAAGATTCAAAGAACTATACGGATAATGCATAACGTACCAACAAGTGCTAGAATAACTGTCATAAAAGGAGCAACTGGAATCCCAAACGAGGTATTCGTTTCAAACATTTGGAGAATATCCGCTAAAACACGAACACAGAAACACAAAATGAGTGAACAAACCAATCAAGTTGACATTTGTGTACATGTTAAAGTATCTTATTGCAAAACTTTTATATTTATCTGCAACAGTGCGTAACAAAACACCATAGCTACTTAAAAGAAGTTAGGTTTTATTTAACTAAGTAACCTGTTAGAAAGTTAGTAGAAAGGATGCTATTAGCGACTACTGCTATACGTCTAACACCAGTTTTTGAGTACATTCTGTAAATATTTTGTATAAATGTTTGTAAAATCGAAGACGACTTAATTAGGAACTAAGAAAATTCCGCTTGTTATCGACAATCAGTGTGAGCTAATTTACTATAAGACCGTTAATTATCATAAAACTAGGAAGGTAAGAAAATGAGAAGTCAAAACTTTTTGTTATAATACACTTAGAAAATAGTGCCGAATCAAACCTATGCCTCCCAATATGTTCTTGTTTATTATTTACTTCAGTTCAGTATGGTACAGTTACGTGATTTTTCCAAATGTGGTCCAGACACAATAATGTCCGATAAGTCAGAGTTAATTGGAGAACTAGCTTTATCAAATAAAGAAAGAATAAACTTGTGATTATACGGGACCACTAAACCATACAACAGTAAATTACAAGTGCATATAAGAATGTAAAGTGACATAGTAGTAAATTACTTACCTATTACAACCACAAGCTGCTGACTTGAATATCGTAAGAGAATGGATATACAAAACGTCTGCAAAAAAAGTATAAAGGGAAAAATAGATGATGAAGATTAGAGAACATAAAGTCACTAATAACGATAAAGTCAGCAGATGAATTATTGATCTTATTAAAGTGACTGGTACACGGAATAACGGGGAATTTTATGTTAAGCTGAACACTGGTACTTTCAAGTGTAGAGTATACATACGCCTGAACCAAGCATTTTGCGATCGTTTCGTCTCCACTACAAGTATTGAACAGTCCTTTTTGATTTATTATACACGAATTTTGAAGAGGATAACGATAATGACCATTACGAACGAAACGAAGAGTCTGCCTACCCTCCCAGTGCTGATGGCCTGGTGACTGGCGAAATCTCAGCACGGATATGCAAGGCTCCATTGGCTTTTGACGACCTGTGTCATTCATGGAGTAGACGAGATATCCGTTTGCTAAACAAAGGACGAGTGTACTGAGCAGTAGTTCGCTCTGTCCTACTTTATGGCTGTGAAATATGGCTAGTCAGAGTAGAAGATATTCGTACGTTACTTGTTCTCAATCATACGTGTCTCCTAAACAATGCTCGTGTATCATAGGACAACCGAGTAACCAATGCTTTTGTTAGGAAACGAGTACTAAGGGCGGCAGATCGATGGATGAAGTATTGAATCTCTATCAGTTGAGGTGGTTGAGACATGTGTTGCGTATGCCCAACCAGCGACTGTCTCGTCGAACTATGTTTTGTGGTGCAGGAATAGGTTAAATGAAAGCTAGTAGCGGCCAGACCAAAACATGGCAGAAATCCATGAATTCACCGACAAGTGGACTGGGTAATGCTTGTAGGTTTTGACTACTTAGTTGGGGCCCGCGACATGATAGTAACCAATGATTATCGAACTTGAATGATATGGCTCAAAATCGCTAGCAAATGGCACAGGTGCATTTATTCTGTGTTCTCTCAAATGATGACCTTCATAGTTCCTCATCATCTTTATCTTTTTCTTTTTAAGTTTGCTTCCCTCGATCCTACTTCTTGAATAATATCGTTGAACCCTAAACTCTCCGATAACTGCTAATACTTCTACCTCTACTACTTTGGGTTTTGAATTGACAACTCGATCTGTTTGTGCTAATGTGTTATGGCAACCTGAACTGATGTAAATACGAAAGAAGTTCTACGTTGTAACCGACTGACTGACTCGGATAGTTATTTTATTAACACACCAGTGTCACTACCAAGTCCAAGGTAAACGTATAAAAAAATCGTGTTGTTGTGATTTTTCTCAATCTAGTTTTCGCACCAGAACACTGCTGCAATCCAAAAGTGTGCTTAAGAAAGCTAATGGACAGCTGTCCGAACTCAGTCACGCACGACTCATACATGAATTATTATTTCTGTATTATTAGCTTTATAATTATGGAAACAGGAAACAAATAGGTAGAGACAAACACATTGTCTTCAGGGTCGACGTTTCTTAACCCGTCTTTTTATTTGATAGGGGACAGCAGCCGGAGAGACACCAATTTCCCGAATAAACATTGGTGAAGAACAGACATTACTTGTCAAGTGATACTGCAAACGACGTTTACGCCAATGATGGAGAAATCGCAACAGAATCTCTGAAATTTCATAAGTTAAAAAGTATTTCCTGTTCTCTAGTGTTCAGCTTTGTACAGTGAAGCTAAATGTAAAAATAAATAAGTTGATATTGTCAGTATATCACTCTGCTGAGGTTTATACTAGCATTTACTATCTGATTTATCAACTGCTTTGATTTTGTAGTCAAGCAGCACCTACGGAGCTCCCAATCGATGTTGGCGCACCTACAATTGAAGAGATCAGCATGGCCATCAAACAAATCAAGAGGGACAAATCAGCAGGACCAAACAACATTCCAGCAGAGGCAATGAAAGCAGATGTGTAAGCAACTGCAAAAATATTTCACAACCTCTTCAAGAAGATTTGGGATGAGGAACAAGTACCATCGGATTGGAAAGAAGGATACCTGGTCAAAATACCAAAGAAAGGCGATCTCAGCAAGTATGAGAACTACACACTCTTCTTTCAATACCAGGCAAAGTCTTCAACAGGGTATTGTTAAACAGAATGAAGGACTTCGTAGATGCCCAACTTCGAGATCAACAGGCCGGATTTCGTAAGGATCGATCGTGTACTGACCGAATTGCTACATTACGGATCATTGTTGAACAATCAGCTGAATGGAACTCACCACTCTACGTCAACTTCATCGACTAAGAGAAGGCATTCGATAGCGTGGATAGGAAAACACTATGGAGGCTTCTTCGACACTACGGTGTGCCTAAGAAGACAGTCAACATCATACGGAATTCTTATGATGGATTAAACTGCAAAATCGTGCACGGAGGTCAGCTGAAAAACTCGTCTGAGGTGAAGACCGGTGTCAGGCAAGGTTGCTTACTCTAACCATTTCGCTTTCTCCTGGTCATCCACTGGATTATGAAGACGTCAACATCTGGAGGGAAGCACGGTATCAACTGGACAGTTAGGACGCAGCTGGACGATCTGGACTTCGCAGATGACCTGGCTCTTCTATCGCACACGCAACAACAAATGCAAGAGAAGACGACCAGTGTAGCAGCAGCCTCTGCAGCAGTAGGTCTCAACATACACAAAGGGAAAAGCAAGATTCTACGATACAACACAACAAGCGCCAAACGAATCACTCTTGATGGACAGGCTGCATCATCGACAATCAAGGTGGATCGGATGCAGATGTGAAGGCGCGGGTCGGAAAAGCAAAAGCTGCATTTCTACAATTGAAGAATATGTGGAACTCCAAACAAATATCAATCAACACCAAAATCAGAATTTGCAGTACAACTGTCAAGACAATTCTACTGTATGGAGCGGAAACTTGGAGAACTATGAAAGCCATCATCCAGAAGATACAAGTGCCTACTGACAGTTGTCTACGCAAAATTCCTCGGATTCGTTGGCCAGACACAATCAGATACAACCTACTGTAGGAGAGAACAAACAAGATTCCAGCGGGGGAGGAAATCAGGAATACGTGGTGGAAGTGGATAGGACACACACTGCAGAAAGCACCTAACTGCGTCACTAAACAAGGCCTCATATGGAACCCTTAGGGTAAAAGGAGAAAAGGAAAACCAAGGAACATAATACGCCAGGAAATAGAGAAATACATGAGGAAAATGAACAAAAATTGAACAGAACTTGAAAGGGAAGCCCAAGACAGAGTTGGTTGGAGATAACTGGTGGGCGACCTATGCTCCAATGGGGGTAACAAACGTAAGTAAGTTGATTTTATAGTCACGCTACCGCAAGGTCTTGAAAAATCTCAAGACATTTTAGCATTCACGTATGTGAAATTTCGCTAATCAGTTGTTTTGAGGAAGTAACACAGAGTTAGGAATCTTAGTAAGTTTGAATACGATGTTCAAGACTAATTCGTGGGGACTGATGAAATACATGAAAACAGTTAAAAGCATTTAGTCTCTGCTTGAAATAGGATGATGGATGATCAAGAATCAATATAGAGCATATTTTTCCACTTTTCAACTAGTTATTACATTGCTAACGTGATAAAAATATGGGGATATTAAAAGAATGTAGACAATTAACAATCAATGAAAACCCATGAAATCATCAATATCAATTTTCCCAAATAATCTCACCTCGAAAATTATGTAAAATATACAAAATATTTGAGAGAAGTGTGTAAGCCATTAGTAAAAAACTTACAAATATTAACATGATCAAAGCAGCAACAAAGTAGGACGACCTAGACATCTGCGAAATAACGAGCTTATAATGTTGTCCGCTCATTACATTTACCATATAACCCTTTAGTCCTTCGCTAGCAGACAAATACTTCACACTACCGATCAGAAGATCTTCATAACCAAGGAACTCTTCCATGAGAAAACGACTGAGTTTACTACCAAAGCAAGGGTTTGTTTCTGGGTCTGCAATTTAGTAATAGGCATATTTGATTACGTAAACCTGTTAGTGGAAAAATACTACTTCAACACATAAATTCACAAAAGATCAATATTTAATTCTAGTATGGTCTATCACCTACGACCATCAAAACTTAACAGATTCTGATGAAAAAGACTAAAAAGGTTAAACGGGAATGATAATGAACCAAATATTCTCTCTGAGTAAAAGTGGAGTCGCTTAGCATCAAAGTAACCTAACAACGGACAAAAGCTTGAATGTGGATTTTACTCCGATGCTATAAAGGACTACTTGGGGTTTTTTTTATTTTATTAGTATCGTTTGTATAACATGATTTCCCATAAATCTAAGGACTTCCAATTTCAATGTCTAAAAGATATCTCAAGATATCTTAAGTGTTTAGTGAACTACATTCACTTATTAACTAATTTTTTTGAATACTGATTACTAACTTGATGTAGTTTAGTTACTTTCGGTCAACAACTTGACACTAAAGGTGAAATTTTAAAGGCAAGTAAACGAATGCTTGATGTGGAGAATCAGTTCGCGCTAGTAAAAACAGTCTTCATGTGCTTGTAACTTATACTTCTGCTGGACTTAATTTGAAGCTCCATTTTTATTACTGTTTGTTCCTTCATTTTACTACAGCTTTGGTTTATTAAGTAATAACTATTTTGGCAGTAATAACTTTGACTAGTTACACAGAGAATCACTGTATCCCTCTATACGAGTTGAAGACATAATAAATGTAAAGAGAAGACTCCTTTTTCGTTTATTTTAGCCTCATTTGATCATTTATATACGAAGGGATTTACGCAACGTAAAGTTAAAAATTAATGAGATTATCTTGAGACTTGTTTTACTGTGGTATAATACGGTAAATATAGATAACAAATAGAACAAAATTTTCATATCACGTCGTTTTATCACCAGATAAAATCAATTATGTTGTAGTCTAGGCATTTTAATTAGGAACTTGGATAATATAAGTTAGAGGTTCACCTTAACGTTTAACCAATTACTGACTTTACAAAGAAACATTCTCTTCTTGTAATCATATGTTGCACGGTTTAGTACTGATGTCAATGGAGGTTACAGCTAACTTGTTCAGTCTGTTTGAATAAAACCAACCTAAGACAACTATAGAAAAGTTAGACATACCAAGAACAATTAACTTTACAGTTATGTTAAGCCTGTTACGGGCGCGCGGTGAAAGACGAAGAAGGCCATACTCCAGGGCATATTCAATTATATAGCTGTCATTTGTGTTTAGTGCTGTAAAACAATATTAAAAAGTTCCAAAAATGTATGGGTACTAATAGATTTAGGCAGGAAAGTATAAACGACAGTGGTTTGGAGAATATTATGAATTTATGACACTGATGCCTTGTAGTCAGATATATGCACAAGCATATAAGCTTAGTTAATTACAATTGTAAAACATGTACATTTGGAATCCAACCAACGAGATAAGAGGCAGCCTCGAGACCCAAATGTTCTGAGTACGATCTTTGGCGGGGTCATCAGCCGGCACTGTTGGGAGGTCCCATACAAAGATGAAATAGTTTTCCAGTGCTGCTTAGTTTTGATGGCATCTTAACAAAGATCAATCTATGACGAATGTAACCTACAAGCACCAAGACATTTAGAAATAATCTGAACCGGATGTGACTGAGAAGTGATGAAATACGACGGATTCACAATAATTTTTGAACACAGACGCGAAACGCATGACAGATATTGATAGATTATCTCGCTTAGAGCTTGAAGATTGCGTTTCCCAACAACTTCTTAAATAGAACTATAAGCACAACCTACTATGTTTGTCCCTGATAAAAAGGATGACCTGAATGTTTCAACTAGTTTGATCAACGTATAAGTAACATCGGGTTTCAACAAATCAGAGTCACGTACGCAAATATATTTCACACTTATCCATCTTATCGCAAACATCTCACTAAAAATTAGGGTCTACCAATCGAGTAGCCTACAAGATTGTTATCCTGTAATCCCCTAAGACATAGAATCATGCTCACTTTTGCATTTACTATACTGTAAATGACGATGTTCATTCACCATAGAAAAAAACCCTACTCTTTTTTACTACTAATAGTTTTCGATCTGTTTATTTGGTGGTTTGTGTTAATAATTCGCACTTGCATATAGTTAACACTCAACCACGATGCATCTTCGTTGTTCATGTATTGATCAGTATTTATTTTCAAATCCTATACCTGCGTACGAAGAAGAACTGGCAACCTCCTCCACAATAGTCACATCTGTTTTTTTCGTAGAAATATGAATACAAAGATATGATTTGTCTTATTGTTAGTCAAGAATCCTCATAAGTGTGCTAATAACCACGTATAAATAATTTGCCGCTATTATACTACAAAAATTGGGCAGAATTGTAAGTAGGTGAACTTGGGAAAAAGTCTAGGTTCTGTTAAGACAACAGGAATAGTGAACAACTTAACATTCACCGAATTCATTAACACTACTATATGTAATGCTAGACAACAGGTTTTTACCTTGTGATACTAGTGCTGTTTTAAGTTTGTTAAACCGGCGGGCACTTTAAGATTTTTCCACACTGTTCCAAACTGTTGCGACTAAGTCACTCATACAGAAAAAGATCATTTAGACTAAGTAGTATCTCCTCTAAAATCTGGTGGGGTCCTCAAATAACTTCTGTAAAGATTGTTCATGTCAAATACAAGAAAAAAATTTCCTTACCGGGACCTGACGAGGTATATATACGAATGGGAATGTCGCAAATGAAATCAATGACACCAGTAAATATGTCAATCAATACACGGTTCATTGCAGGCAACAACTGACTGAGTTTATTCCTGGTGATTACAAGTGCATTATATGGGGACATATGATTCTCATTTTCCTCAAAAGAGAATGTCCTTTTTCTATTTCTAGCATATAAGTAGTTTGAAAAGTGATTGAAATCTTCTTTGATGTAACCATACACAATGAACGGAAAAGATAAAAATGAATGCCAGAAATCCTGATTTTCGGGGATGAAAGTTTCAGTAAAATGAGCTACTGAATACTTTGAAGTTTTTGGAACATAAGCAATATGTTTATCTAACTCGTTAGCCGGAGGTGTGTGTTCATCTTTGTCATCAAAACGATAATCAGTTTCAGTACCATAAAACTCCTTTGCATATGAGTCTTCAAGAGAATAGAATGGGTAGGGAGAACGGATGACTTCGATACGTAAAACACCATAGCTAGGCCATGAACGTTGTAACGAAGAATTCGATTCATTACTTTTTGATAAATAATTGCCATTCGTTGTTCCAGAAGTTAAAGACATATCTGAATCAGACTCCATGCTTTTGAATTCATTACGCACACTATCTAAGCATGTTACTGGAGATTTTACGAATGTAATGTGAAGATGTATGAATACAACCAGTACAAAAACAGCCTGCAAAACAATATAAGCAATTCAACTGTAAACATATAAAAATCCCTACTACTATTAAATATTTAAAATGAATACTATTATCCGGTTAATAAAAATAATGATAGTTTATCCAAAAGTTACTGATGCAAACTGCCACGTCAACGAAGGGGCAGGAGGAAATACGCTACAAAAATAGACAAATAGAAAGACTTACACGTACAGAAATTAGAGACCACAGAATCAATCTTCAATAATACTGGTTATAGAATCGAGTGAATAGTCAGTGATTGAGTAATTATGGATTACTGAACAACCACCTCTATCCGAATAATTCTTGTGAACGATATTTTAATACGCCTAAATACCTCATCCTTTAAACATCTAATTCCTTTAGGTATTTTAGCAGGATGGTCATTAAGTATGGAAATCTATATAAAATAAACTGATAGAAGTCCATAGTACAGTGATAATGCGGAGTAAATTATTAGATTAAAAGTGACATTTTTGTAATGACGAATGAATCCCGTATTTTCGAAATATGAAGGTCTCAGATGCAATAACTAGGTTATTTTACCCTCACAATTTCAATTCCCCATTTACAATTGCCATAACCTCATGCGACATGCTGCATTTTCATTTAGATTTCTAAAGAAATGTCGTTGAAGATAAGCGAAACAAGAAATATATGTAATTTGTATACTACTTAACTAGCTGTAGTAATCAAACAAATTATTTAAACTTTTACTTGCTTTCGCTAAAATGTACATGAAAATAGTGGTTGTGTTGTGATGAATTAAAAAAGTCTCTTCATAGTATGTGATTGTTTCGAGCTTTATTAGACCGAACCTTAAGCCAAATTTTGTTGGGTCTGCAACCTACAACATAGGAATAAATCATCACATCTCCAAATGTTGAAAAACGCACTTAGTGCTAAAAGACAGAAATTAGAAAATTAACTGATCACGTTTGAAGTTACGACGAATAATAGACACTATTTAGTTGTACATAATAAATCACTTTTATATGTTCACTTCTGATCATTTTAATGCAGGAATAATCAGACACACTAACTGATTCATTTTCAATTAATTCACGCTAGTAAACTATGCTACTTTCTGGACGCTCCTCATACAACATGTGTAAACAAGTGTGTTTATAATTTGTATATTTGTCATGACATTCGTCTTCGGAATGTAATGTGTTGTGCCGCATAGAGTTGCTAAAAATCAAATAGTCGTAGAGTAGAGACATGAGAAATGTAAACCATTTTAGACAGGATATGTAAAAGATTTACAATCTGAAGAGACAAGATTGAACTGATATTGCCCACCAAACAGTTTAAAACAATGATAAATTTATGTCAGTACAACTAAGAACCAGGAAAAACCATTCAAGCCTATTATATATCATACTTCATTACTAACCATTTTGACTGTGATCTCCCTACTCGCTTCCTTACAATGGCATCTCTATTTATGTAGTGCATACGATTTTTGGTGCCCAGTAGTAGGAGCGTGTGCAGATTCTTTGATTATGCCTGTCAGAAAAATTCAGTCAACTGGTGCGTCACAAATTCTAACCTAGAATCATTTATCACACGTGGTTAATCCTAAATTTATAAATGGATGATGGCTAGCATTATGTTAAAAATTTATATTACCTGTACCAGAAACCCGAATTCAATGATGCGACGCGCAGTCAAAGGAAACACACGAATATAACCAAGTGCTACTCGTCGGAAGAATACTTCAAATAAGTGAGCACGAGTATTTAGAACATTGGTTCGCAAAGAAATACGGGGCAGTTGGTTTACGGGTCTGCTGTTCCCATTGAGTATAACCATATGAGTAGAATAAATTTGATTAGATTGGCAACCACGGACTGATCTATCAAAACAAGACAGATAAGACATATCCATATATTATCAAACGCGAACCGAAAACGCGCTCTATTTCCCACCACTGTTGAGAAAGGTGGTTTGTGAAATAAGGACGTGTAAATCAGAAGCTACAAGTCATACATACTAACTAAGTGGTTAAATTAGCTGCCTACTGCACTCAGTCATGAAAGAGGGTTCAAACTTCCGAATTCAAATCGGTATAATCATGGCTTATTCTCGGGTAAGTTAAGCGACTTAGCAATACTGCAGCAATATGCACCACATTTTCTCGTAGATATTTGATTTTGATGTCACTTTATTCGTCTCATATTTCGATCTCATTTGAATTATATCTCTTTAGTTTGTTGTCCTGTTAACGTCCACTCATTGGAGGCAACAATACCACGGTTGGATTTGATAGTTTCAAATAAATTCAGCATTGGCTAGAAAGTTAATCATAAAATTATTATATTTTGGTAATATTCCTATGAGTACAAATGCGTAGCTTCAATATTTTATAAATTGCATATTCTCTCTACCCAAACAAACAAAAACTGACATCTCATACGGTAGCACCTTGATCGGAGGATAACATGACACTGACAAGTTCAGACCTATTAGGATTTTGACTGTACTAAAATTATTCTGAATGTTTCCTTTGGGCTATTTGTACTTGTGTAAATTTATTTCCGTTATTGATTTATTAAGTCTGAATAAGTGACTTACATTAAGTCACGAAATGTCAGAAATACAAAATTCGAGATATTATCAAAATACAATTACACTGTGATTAATCCACTTATTATGTTGCCAATAAATGTAGCATCATAACTGTTGCATCTATGATCACCTGGTTGAGTGAATACTGAGTCAGTCAGTTACAACGTAGAACTTCGTACGTAGGTAAATACATCAATTCAAGTTGCTATATCACGTGAGCACAGAGACGCAATTATCGATTCAAATAACACAGAAGCAAAGGTAGTAGCAGTACTTGCAGTTATCGGAGAAATTAAGGTTCGAGAATATTATTCAATGAGCATAATGTAGTTCGATAAATCTGAGCAGAGGAAGATGAAGGTCACAAGGAATTTAGATTAGAATTTGAGAACACAAACAATGAGTGAACCTGAGCCATTGCAAACGGTTTTGAGCCATGTCATTCAGGGTCGCTAATCATCGGTCACTATCATCTCGCGGACCCCAACCAGGTAGCCTACATCTACCAACATGACTCAGTCCACTTGTCAGTGACTTTATGAATTTCTGCCATGTTTTGGTCTGGCCGCCCCTAGCTTTCTTCCAACCTTCTCCTGCACTACAAAACATAGCTCGTCGAGAGAGTCGGTGGTTGGACACACGTAACAGATGTCGCAACCACTTCAACTGATGAAGCTTCACTACTTCATCTATTGATCTGCCATCCCTACCTAGTGCTCGTTTCCTAACGATAGCATTGCTTACTCGGTAGTCCCAGGATATAAGAGCAATCCTTCGAATGTACCAATGATCGAATACTAATTACCTACGAATATCTTTTACTCTTACCGGCCATGACGTTTCATAGCTATAAAGTAGGACGGAGTGAACTACTTCACAGTATACTCGTCCTTTGGTCCGCAAACGGATATCTCGTCTACGCTATAAGTGACGTAAATTTGCAAAAGCCAATTGAGCTTTCGATATCCGTGCTGAGATTTCGTCAGTCACCAGGCAACCAGCACTGATAATACTGCCGAGATAAGTGAAGCGGTCTGTACATTCGGCTACTTCTCTCCCTATCCACTAGTTCAGGTGCCGACGCAAGCCAATCCTGAAGCAACATTTTACATTTCGGGGGGGAAACCGCATCCCGAACATGCTTGCATTGTTGCTTAGGGTAGTCGGAAGACTGCATTTTGTCAACGTCTTCACCGAGCAGAACCATGTCATCAGCGTACTCTGAGTCAGCAAGTGTCTACTGGTAAAGGTTTACTTCAGAAAATTCAGACCAAGATAATTTATTATCTAGGAGCATGTTTGTGACAAAATTAACCAAAAATAAGCAGAGTGAACAGTATTGACGCACAACACATGAAGTAATCGATTCCAATGACAGTTCGCCATGAGCTCTAACTCGACCAGTGGTATTGGAGCTTGAGTAAGTTTAATGTACTTCTTTGTTACTCCTTTTAATGACAGACAATGCCACAGAATCTCACGATCAATAAAGTCGAATGCCGCCCTAAGGTCCAGGAAGACAAGAATTGTCGGATGCCTAAATGTAGGTATATGTTCCAGGACCTGTCGTAGTGTGTAAATGTGGTCTATACAACCACGTCCAGGTCTTAAACCAGCCTGGTTTTATCGATTCTCATCTTAACGAGCTCTGGTAAGGCATCGGATTATTACTGAAGCCAATATTTTAGACACTATATTAGTCAAACTGAATCCTCTGTGATTGTCACACATGGACTTTCGTTCTTTCGTGTAAATTGGGACAATGGATGATTGAGACCAGTCAGATGCGATTACGCCTAGTTGCCAGATTCTACCTTAGTTCTTAGTCAATCTAACTCCTCAAACTGGACTACCATGCTTGGTAATCTCACGAATAAGCCTATCAGGTTCTGCTGCTCTACCTCGCTTCAGAGCACAGCTTTTTCAACTTCATAAAGACTCGCAGGACTTACATCGATGACTGGAGATCGTGAGTAACCGAAGTGTGGCTGAATGCCGATTGAACTGATCCCTAAAGTGTTCTGCCCATCGATCCAATCTCCTGGATTGAGAATGAATAATAAGACCATCCTTTTCCGAAATAATCTCACTCACATTCGAGTTCCTAATACCAGTTTCTTTGCTAAGTCTGAATAGTTGTCTGTCGCCGCTGCCTTTTCCATTTCTCTCGCTTTCGCTACCCAACACTGTTCACGATCATTGCGTAAGCTTTTAATCAGTCTGCGCCTGACACCGCTCCTGATCCCACTCAGAGCCAGGTGGGATGAGCTTCCGGGCATCCATCAGTTCGGTGGATGCTACTGAGATCCACGGCTTCATTCTAGCCTTATGTTTTACCTTACTAGCAGATATCAGTGCTGCCTCCACAGCTTTTTGGATATCATTCCAAGCTGCCTCAGGGTGGGCATCACTTATTGCATGGCTGCCTAACTGTTCTTCTAGTTGTTCCTGAAACATATTCTTAGCTTTATTATCACTAAGTAGAGCCTTAGAGGTTTTATTGGGATATTTTTCCCACGTCCAGTAAGACGCAAACAAATACGCACTCGCATTAGATCATGATCTGAATCTAAACATGTGTCCCAGAACGAGCAACTGTCCACTGTCGAACCCCTCCATCGATGGCTGATGCCGATGTGATCTAGTTGAGTCCAGTATTGAGACGACTTTGAGGGTCGCCAAGTCAAGAGATATTTTTCCTTATGCTTAAGGTTAGTTTTTGCTAGAAATAGGCGGTTATCTCAGCATTGTTGGAACATACGGTCGCCATTATCTGTTCTTTGAGCCGTGAAACCATAACATCCACCCAGGTGTACTTCCTTTTCGTTTAGTCTACCTACTTGAACATTGAAGTCACCAGCCACCATTACTATATCAGAGTGCCTAACTTTTTGGAGGAGGTCCGAAAGCTTTCTGTAAAACTAATCTTTCATCTCGTCTGAGCTGCAGTCAGTGGGAGCGCGAGATTCTTAAGTCCTAGTTAAAGAAGCCTGTTGTCCTATTTGACAAAATATCCGAACATTAAATGCTACAACATGTAGTTGAGAACGAGGTTTCAAGAGACCACGAATGAAATTTCGTGAACTCGCATCGTTTGCATCAGCTATGCGGAATGATAAGGGAATGTGAGAAGAGATAGTCGTGAAGATAAGAGAAATGTTAGGTGATGTAGGAAGAATTTGTTTGTAATCAATTTGGTCTCGCGTGATGTCACGGGTATGAGGGCGGTTGTCACTTCCCGGCTGCCCACACCGTGGAAGGTTGTTTCTTGAGGAAATTGAAAAGGAAGTTAGGTTAGCGTTGGTCATCGATACCTGTGAGCGTGACCGCAGAGCCCAAGGGATAACTCCTTGAGGCCGGTCACGCACGGCCTTTTCATGAGTTTTTTGGAAGTTTTAGCTCTGCTCTTGGTCTTATCGCCGGAGACAGAAATCCGTGAGGTAAGGGGAGGTGTGACATTTTTAGGGTCGACCTTTTCTAACCCTTCCTTCCTTGTGAGAAGGCAGTATCGCTGCAGATGCTGGTTGTCCGAGGGAAATACCTTACTGCTGTTACACCCTTCTACAGTCAGCAGTAGAGTTCTCCCTCAGATCTTGAGTTGTTTTTAGTCTCATCGTTCTCCAATCGACCTGCCTGGCATGGTAGAACCTACAGAGACATATATTCCAGCCCATACAGCTCGGTTGGGTCATCGTGATAGGCAAGCCCGACCACCACGTCAAGGTAACAGCTACGGTCGGGAGTGAATGCTGACACAGTAAATAACTGGAGACACGCTTCTCAGTGCAAGCTACCACAATGAAGCCGACAAAAGTATATGCAACGAGGAACATATCAATAAAGGGCTAAAGTCATGTTGTTACACTATATCGTCATGGACACAACTTGATCATATTGCTATGAGCATTCAATAGAGAGGCTTGTTAGAAGACTATCACTCATTCTGAAGCATATGTTTAGATTCAGATAATGCCCTAATACGAGCACGTATTTGTATGCGACTTACTGGACGTAAAATGGTTACCGTATCTAAACCTTTTAAAGTTACACTCAAATCAGAAAAATTCAAGAGTACACTTAACGAGCGACTGGGAAAAGTTAGCCATGAAGGTGATGCCCACCCCTAGGCAGCTTGGAATGATATCCGGAAATTTGTGGAAACAGCAGTGATACCTTCTAGTTAGTTTAACCAAGAGGTCAGGAAAATGCTGTGGATTTTAGTACCATCTACTGAACTGATATATGCTCGGAAACATCGCACCTGATTATGAACATGATGAAGAGCGGATGCAGCTTAAGCACAGGGTGATTAAAAGCCTATACAATGATCGTGAGGATTTGTGAGTAGCGAATTACAGCAGCCAACTTTTCAGACTTATCAAAGGAATCGGTATTAGGAATTTGACAAGTAACGAGACTCGAAAAAAGATAGGAATTGCGCTTAACAGTTCCATTTGAGTGCTATGGTATGGTCACTCGAACTGATACACGTTAATTTTAAGTTCAGTGTTGCCACTGGCTAGCTGACGAGTCTAGTTGTAGGAAAATCCCAGTTACTGTTTATTTTATGGCAAAAAACGGAGGAAAAGAGTAGAAAATGACTAACTGGTTACAGCCTAATTATCTCAATCCCTCAAACTAAGGGAAAATCTAACCAATTTTGCGGAATGACTGTATTTTGTGGGCGATAGTATATTAATAAGTGTAGTGTTTACCCGTCAGTTTCTGCTAAAAACTCAGTTATACCAAGTGAGTCACTGGTGGCTAGTCAGATTACAGTTTGAAAGTATACATTTACTTCCATATGGACGCACATCATGTCGATAATAGGGATATATTAATCAACTAAGATCTAGGAAAAAACCGTTGTAACCTGAAAAAAATACCATATAAACCGGATAATGTACTGATCCTCAAAAGTAAACATAAGCTGATAATCGGAAACAATGAAATTAAATCCTGTACATACAGTTGTTCCGTAGATCTATTAACGGAACAACTTCCCTCTAAATTTATTCGTGTGTTTAGTAAAGTTGGAGGCAACCGTTCAGCAATAAACCAACATGGAAATTTCTAACAAAAATGCAACGTACTCCGGCCACCGTCCAAAAGTATTTAACGTTTAGCGTCAAGACAGAAGGTGCTTTGTGAATGGAGGGAGCATGCACAGCAGCTTGAGTTGGGGAACTGGAAAAGAGAAAAACGAAAGAGGTAAGTCAATGAGCAATCAAGCACACAAAGTGTGATTATTTTTATTAAGGATAGTAATGAACAACAATTAGTAACCATGTGAGTTTCAAATGCACACAATCATGATAGCGAAACTAGGACCGAGTAGTGTGATTTGAAACCGTAACAAGCAAAACAGTTCAAGTAGGCGCGAACAATTCTCGAGAATATTAATTTACAATAGATCAAATCACTTTAATACGAGCTTATAAACACATATTGATTTCCTTGTGCCCATTTCTTATCATTTCGGCAAGGAACAAAAGAAAAACAAAAATCAGGCATGGATGATAAGCAGCTAGATAGGAATAAGCTGATAGCATATCTGATATCCAATATCCAATATATTTTTCACGAACTGGCATAAACCAATTGATTTTCCGCACCAAGTTCCTGTTCTTTCGATACGGTTCCAGGTGTTTGGCAGTTTTCAAAGGGTGGGGGCCTAGCAGCTCCACTGTCTAATTCTAGTCAGATGACTGTTGTTTGCCTCGAGGGGAGTGGTGGTGATGCATCTGTAAGGTGCTCAAGTTGAGATGATTTGGCATGCTCAATATTTTGCAAGCCGTAATCAGATCACCTTGTTTGCATTCAGCTGGAAGTTGGTGTTACTCCAGTGAATGCTTGAGCACGTCACATATCGGTGAACTGAGGGCCCCTGCACACTCTTTCATGACTGTGAGACGAATATTATATCATACTGGTGACTTTCCGGGACGCAAGGATTATAATTCTCTTCGCACTAGGTCACTACTAGGTTAAATATTCCCGAGACCTTCAGCGGGCACAATGTTTGATTAGTATTCTGAGCGTGTAGGTTATTGGTTTAACTGATCGATGGGGTTAGTGTTAGTGATTTCGGACCTTGGCCCTCTGAGCGCGCAAACACCCTGGTTAGTAGGTTTTATTTTTGTTACGAACCTAAACGGATACATATGTTTTACCTGTATTGGGGCAAATAGCTTCATCTGAAAGCGTCTCCTATCACTTCAAACTTTGCTATTACATCTGTTTCTCAATTACAAGTAAGAACTACGATCGGAATCCTTCAAGGAGACCTTCTAATTGTGTCAGGCCCTCCTCTTCGCCTGTAGCAAGCGTTCGATGCCGTGCCTAACCCTCACTTTCTTACATATGCCTGTTACCTCCAATGGAGCATAGGCCGCCCACCAGTTATCTCCAACCAACTCTGTCTTGGGCTTCCCTTTCAAGTTCTGTTCAATTTTTGTTCATTTTCCTCATGTATTTCTCTATTTCCTGGCGTATTATGTTCCTTGGTTTTCCTTTTCTCCTTTTACCCTAAGGGTTCCATATGAGGCCTTGTTTAGTGACGCAGTTAGGTGCTTTCTGCAGTGTGTGTCCTATCCACTTCCACCACGTATTCCTGATTTCCTCCCCCGCTGGAATCTTGTTTGTTCTCTCCTACAGTAGGTTGTATCTGATTGTGTCTGGCCAACGAATCCGAGGAATTTTGCGTAGACAACTGTCAGTAGGCACTTGTATCTTCTGGATGATGGCTTTCATAGTTCTCCAAGTTTCCGCTCCATACAGTAGAATTGTCTTGACAGTTGTACTGCAAATTCTGATTTTGGTGTTGATTGATATTTGTTTGGAGTTCCACATATTCTTCAATTGTAGAAATGCAGCTTTTGCTTTTCCGACCCGCGCCTTCACATCTGCATCCGATCCACCTTGATTGTCGATGATGCAGCCTGTCCATCAAGAGTGATTCGTTTGGCGCTTGTTGTGTTGTATCGTAGAATCTTGCTTTTCCCTTTGTGTATGTTGAGACCTACTGCTGCAGAGGCTGCTGCTACACTGGTCGTCTTCTCTTGCATTTGTTGTTGCGTGTGCGATAGAAGAGCCAGGTCATCTGCGAAGTCCAGATCGTCCAGCTGCGTCCTAACTGTCCAGTTGATACCGTGCTTCCCTCCAGATGTTGACGTCTTCATAATCCAGTGGATGACCAGGAGAAAGCGAAATGGTTAGAGTAAGCAACCTTGCCTGACACCGGTCTTCACCTCAGACGAGTTTTTCAGCTGACCTCCGTGCACGATTTTGCAGTTTAATCCATCATAAGAATTCCGTATGATGTTGACTGTCTTCTTAGGCACACCGTAGTGTCGAAGATGCCTCCATAGTGTTTTCCTATCCACGCTATCGAATACTTTCTCGTAGTCTATGACGTTCCATTCAAATGGTTGTTCCACAATGATAATGTTGCAGTTTGGTCGGTACACGAACTATCTTTATGAAATCGAGCCCCTTGATCTCGTAGATGGTCATCTAGCATGGATGCAGAAAGCTCGATTAGCTTTTGTCAATTTATGGCGTTGACGAGATATCCGTTTGCTTACTAAAGAATGAGTGTTCGGTGCAGTAGTTAGCTTAGTTCTATACGGATCCGAAACATGGCCGGTAAGAGAAGAGGATATTCTTATGTTACTAGTATTCGATGAAAGATGTCTTCAAAGCATTTCTCCGCTCGCGTATCGTCGGACGACCGAGTTAGCAGTGTTGTTGTTAGGAACCGAGCACTAGGTAGGGATGGCAGATCAGTAGATTAAGTAGTGAAAATCCGTCTGTTGAGATGTTTGGGACTTGTGTTACGAGTGCACAACCACCAACTCTCTCGACGAGCAATGTTTTGTGATGTGGGAATAGGTTGAAAGAAAGCAAGAGGCGGCCAGACCAAAACGTGGCAGAAATCCATGAAATCACTGACAAGTGGACTGAGTCATGTTGGTAGATATAGGCTACTACCTGATTGGGGTCCGCGAAACGTTAGTAACCAATGGTTAGATATCTTGAATGACGGCTCAAAATCGTTTGCGATTGCGCAGGATCATCCACTCTTTGTGTTCTATGAAATTCTAATTTCTGGATTCCTTATCACCTATGTCTTTCTCTTTTTAAATTCATATCACCGAATTATTCTTTTCGAACCATATCTTTGAACTCTAATCATCTCAATTACTGCTAAGCCTTGTATCTCTACCACTATGGGATTTGAATTAACTATTGCGTCTCTGTCTCTCTGTGGTATGGCAACATGAACTGATATACTTATGAACGAAGTTCTGCGTTACATCTGACAGACTGACTGAAGTTGTTCATCTACGAAGTCCTTCATTCTGTTTAACAGTACCCTGTTGAAGACTTTGCCTGGTATTGAGAGAGCAGTAATGCCTCTGCAGTTCTCACACTTGCTGAGGTCACCTTTTCTCGGTATTTTGATGAGGTATCCTTCTTTCCAGTCTGATGGTGCTTGTTCCCCATCCTAAATCATCTTGAAAACAATGTGGAGTAATTTTACAGTTTCTTCCACGTCTGCTTTCGTTTTCGCTGCTAGAATGTCGTTAAACTGGTTTGAATTATGTTTTCTGGTTAGCGTTTTTTCAGAAAGTTAGTTTTTTGGTGGAATGGGGTAGCCAACACAATGCCCAATACTCCTCCTTTATCCGGGCTTGGGACCGGTAGTAGCTCCGGAGGATCTACAGACAAAGTTGCACCAAGCCCATGTTCTTCTATTTCCGGGTGTGTGATTTGACTGAGGTACATTGTCTAGGACAGCCTTCTGGATGATTTCTCTCTCATGCGCATGTAGTTCGCCCTAGTGTAGCAAAGATAGGATTAGTTTTCTTCCTGCCTAAGTGTTCCCTTTATGACCATGGTAAATAAGACTGTGCCATGGTCACTACTTCCTATCGATGCATGGACGTGAACATCCTCGACTAGGACCTGATCATTTGTTAACAAATAATCCAGGTTTGAGGACTTTCCTTCCTTGATCCATCTAGTGTCACTACATACGTGCTTAGTAAGCCAAGAAATTCTAACGGCTGCAACAAGTCGTCTTTGGAAGCAACCAGTGAGATTTGCACCCTGATTGCTGAGATTTAGAGATGGGGTATTGAAATCTCCAGCTAAGAGTATTTGTTCAATCCCCAGGAGTGGCAGTTGGAGTATTGCCTCAGTCATTTTACCTTTCTGGGCCTTGATACCTGAGGAACGCTAGTAAATCCTTCAAATCAAGTATTTTGTGGCATTTGTGTTGAAAAAAACATCAACGTGATTCTCTCACCTCGTAAAGACGCTTGGCTTTTAAATGTCTGTTTATATATATAGCCACTCCGCTTGCTGTTTTGTGTACCTATCACTTCGGTAGAGTGACATAGCTTGCAGGCTCACATCGTCGTCTGCACTGTCAAGAGGATAGCAATGATCATGATCGCCAGATGCATCTGAGGGCACTGTAGATGAATTTTCTACCGTAGCAGTTCAATTTGATTGCAGTAGGTGTAGGTCAAACGCTCCCTCCCCTTGTCCAATATCAGAACACAATAATTCTAGGAGAAAGTGGTCTATTTTTATATTAAAATGGAAAAACAAACATTTACCTGACAGTTAATACACCTTCCAAGTCGAAAATTATTCTGATGTGTATCCGAGTTCAAAAGAATAAGTGATACTAGTATTATCTGCCACGATATCAAATCCAAATATGGCTGTAGCCATATTATATATCAAATTTAAACAACATGTGTACAGTTCAGAAGCAAACATAAAAACTTCAATATAAGTACAAAATATAGAAATAATAACAATATACAATGATAAAATCTCAAAATGGAATCAAATAAAATACCAAAATGTCAACAGAAAGAGTCAGTCATATCATAACACAAATATATATACATGGAGGGATTTTCCAAAAAACAAAACATTCAAAAAAGATTCTACACCGGCCCGCAAAATCCCTCCATGCAAAAAGCAAGCGCTTACTGACACTTCAATTTAGGGTTCACTCTCATCCCCTAATCCACACCGGAAGAACGAGTAGGACTTACAGCAGTACGCCTACCCGCCCTCCAACATGGATATGACCTATCAAGCTAACTAGGTACCTGTACCTTCCCATCAGGCCCTTGATTCCCCTATCTATCTCAGCAGGACCTAACGGTTGTATAAACCTTATCCAATTAACCCACACGAACATGTACAACACGTCGTAAAGCTGGTCAAATCCTATCCGGGATCTACATTCCATATCATGGGGATGAGTCGTCAATCCACCACCACTTGCTCCGATCGGCCGATACAATGAATTCCGTGATGCTGACTTATCAACGGAAGTTCTTGACCCATAG